GAAGTATGAGTATTCCAGAACACTTAATTGTGCTCATGAGGAATCTGTACCTGGACCCAAGAAGCAGTTGTTCCAACAGAACATGGGAACACTGAATGTTTTAAAATTAAGAAAGGTATGTGATAAGGTTGTATTCTTTCACCATACTTATTCAACCTGTGTCTTGAGCAAATATTCCGGGAAGCTGGGTCCTATGAAGAAAAACATGGCATCAGGATTGGAGGAAGACTCATTAACAACTTGCACTATGCAGATGATACAATCTTGCTTGCTGAAAGTGAAGAGGACTTAAAATATTTACTGATGAAGATCAAAGAGCACATCCTTCAACATGTATTACATCTCATTGTAAAGAAAACAAAAATCCTCACCACTGGACCAATAAACAACATTCTTATCAATGGAGAAAAGATTGAAGTTGTCGAGACTTCATTCTTCTTGGATCAGCTATCAACACTCATGAAAGCAGCAGTCAAGAAATCAAACGACGTATGGCATTAGGCAAATCTGGTGCACAAGACCTTTTTAAAGTGTTGAAGAGCAAAGATGTCAGCTTGAAGACTAAGGTGCGCCTGACCCAAGCCATGGTATTTTCAATAACCTTATATGCATGCCAAAGCTGGACAGTGAATAAGGAAGACCATAGAAGAATTGATGCTTTTGAGTTATAGTGTTGGAGGAGAATATTGAAAGTGCCATGGACCGCCAAAAGAACCAATAGATCCGCTTTAGAAGATGTGCAGCCAGAGTGCTCCTTGGAGGCCAGCATGGCCAAACTTCGTCTCTCATACTTCGGTCATATTATCAGGAAGGACCAGTCATTGGAGAAGGATACCATGTTTGGTAAGGTGGAGGGTCAGAGAAAAAGAGGAAGACCCCCAGTGAGATGGACTGGCCTAGTGGCAGCATCGATTGGACTCAAGCGTGGCAACAGTAGTGATGTTGGTTCAGGATTGGGCAGTGTTTCGTTCTACTGTGCATAAGATCGCTATAAGTTGGTACCAATTCGATGGCACCTAACAACAACAACAACAACATTTTAGGGAGGAAGTGAAAATCGGGAACTGAAAAGATATAAAACTTTAGTAAAAGAAACATGAAATTTAAAAGCGAAATTCTCCAGAATATTATAAGATAAAACATGAAATGACCAAGATCCCTTGCATGTGGAAGGAGAATTCGCTTTGCTAGGATATTGAAGAACCCGTGATAGCCCAGACCCTGACACCGAGTGAAGGCAGCTATTGTGATCTTCGGAGCAGGAGAAGGAAGGCTCAGTGCCCAATGATGTGACCCGGCCCAAGGTCGTTACAAGGGGCAGCCAAGTTGTCCTAGCTGTACCCTCAGTGGACAGGGTCTGGGCGGAAGGATGGAGAGAGTCACTAGCGGAGGCATTAGCCCTGCCCCCTACCACTGGCTCCGCCCCAGCGTTGCCTCCGCGTGGTTTTCGCCGCTAGCAGCTCCGACCAGGTGGTCCCGGAGCAACTTCAGTTTAACCCAGCACCGCAGCTGGGTTAAACCGCGAGCTCCTCAAGGGTCGGTCCGTGACTTCTCTCTTGAAAGAGCAGAAAAACCGCAAGCTGCGGCCAGAACTGAACTCCCATCGGTTTCCGACAACCAGTTTCCGACCGAGAGCTGAAGTTCCCGAACGACAACTGGCCGGCTCCAGGAGAAGGACTGACTGGGATCGCCATCCGGAAGGTCATGGCTGCGTCTGCCCGCCGCTTGTGCCACATCGCCTTCCACGTGCAGCCAGAGCAGCCCCTCGCCCGGGACCTGCAGCGCTTCTTCGGCTTCCAGCCCCTAGCGGCTCGGGAGGGAGATGGCTGGCGGCAGCTCGCCCTGCGAAGCGGAGACGCAATCTTCTTGGTGAACGAGGGCGCGGGCCCAGGGGATCCGCTGTATGGCCTGGACTCGCGTCACGCCGTGCCTAGTGCCGCGAACCTGTGCTTCGACGTGGACGATGCGACGGCCGCCGCCCGGGCACTAACTGCACGGGGCTGCTGTCTGCAAGTGCCCCCTGTTATCATGCAGGATGCACACGGCGCTGCCACCTACACAGTGGTGAACTCGCCGGTCGGCCACCTCAGCCTAACGTTGTTGGAGCGCCCCGGCTACTGCGGGCCTTTCCTGCCAGGGTTTGGGCCGGTGCCCTCCGTACCTGGTTCCTGCTGGGTTACCCACGTGGACCACCTAACCTTAGCCTGCAGTCCAGGCAGCTCCCCCACACTGATGCACTGGTTTCAAGACTGCCTGGGTTTTCGCCATTTGCCGCTGAGCCCAGGTGAAGATCCCGAGGTGGGCCTAGAAGTGACTGCAGGGGTCGGCCGTGGGGGGCTCAGGCTCACGGCCCTGCATACCCCAGTGAACAGTGCTGTTCCCACCCTGGTACTGGCTGAGTCCCTCCCGGGAGCCTCCAGTGGGAAGGATCAAGTGGAACAGTTTCTGGATCGGAACCAGGGGCCGGGTCTGCAGCACGTGGGGCTGTACACGCTTGACATCATGGAGGCCACTGAGAGGGTGGCAGCGGCAGGGGGTCAGCTTCTGATGCCTCCTGAGGCCTACTACCAGCAACCAGGCAAGGAGAGCCAGATCTTAGCTGCAGGTCATGAGCCTAGCCGGCTTGCCCAACGAGGAATCCTGTTAGACGGTGATCAAGGCAAGTTCCTCCTGCAGATCTTCACCAAGTCCCTCTTTCCAGAGGACACCTTCTTCCTGGAACTGATTCAGAGGCAGGGGGCCACAGGCTTTGGCCAGGGCAACATCAGGGCCCTGTGGCAGTCAGTCCAGGAGCAAGCTGCCAGGTGCAGAAGAACTTGATTGAGCAGGTTGTTACTGGGACAGATATACCCACAGTTAAACTTCCATAGAAACTTGACTAGTGACAGAGCCCAGGGGTGACCTTAGACTTAGCAGCACCTCCTAGAAGTTAAGTCTCACTGGGGCCCAAGAGGTGGGATTTTTTTGCTTTTACTATGAAACATTTCTTAAATACACTAATACATATGCAAAATGTAAAGAATAAAGGATTTACAACATTAATAGAACATAATGTTTTTCTTTAAAAAAAAAAATTTTCTAATGTGGTTTGGGTGATTGGTTTTCCATTAGACATTGTATATACACTTTGCTCCATGACATTGATTTTACTCTTCACAATGTAAAAGCATTCTTCCCACTTCCTGTGCTCACAATCTCCCTGTGTTCATTCCTGTTCCTTCCTGCCTGGAGCTTTATACTTGGGCCAATGCTGCCCTTACAATTGATTGTTCTAAGGAATGCATACCTCTTGGTGTTAACTGTTCATTTTATAGGCCTGTCTATTGTTTCACTAAAAGGTGATCTACCTGGATGAGTTTAGTTCTAAGTTTGAAGGGTGTCTAAGGGCTATAGTAGGGAGCTTCCACCAGTTTCTGTCGGACCAGTAAGTCTTACAACCAATACTTTTGAAGTCGTCTTGTTCCCTTCTCTGACCTCATTTTTCTCCTACTCACCCACAATTTTTGTGATTATCTGTCCCTTGCTGTTTTCTATACACTGTTATGTATCCCTAAGTAACTATGATTAATACTAGAGGAAGGAATTCAAGACACCAAATCCTCCGCAGTACCTCCCCTCTAAGAAGCTGCAGGTAGGGAGGGGTTGGATCAGGGTTGAACTCAACCACCTGCTTGGTGACAATGCTCCAATCAGAGGTGACCTGAGACTTGCACTGAGGCTATCAGGTGCTCACTGCTGGCAGGTACTGGCAGGTGCTCCCTGCAGCTGCCTTCTCCCTCCTTTCTGGGGGCTGTGCAAGGACAGATCACCTGTCCTGCCCCTAACTGCCTAGAGCTACCTGGGAGCTCTGCCAGGGAAAGCGAGGGCCAAACAGAACCTCACCACTTTCTGGGTTCTTCAGAGGCAGGGAAGTGAGGGAGGGATGGAGTGGAAAGTTCTCTGAAATCACTATAGAAAATAAACACTTTATTAAACAACAGGATCCTAAGGGGTGACCATTTGGCAGAGGCATCATTGAGCTGCACTGTTGAGGCTGGGTACATCAGTGGGGACATGTGATTGGAAGAAACGATCCAGGACTTGCTGGCCTGGGCTGAGCTTTTTCCGGCTGGATGAGACAGACATCTGGGACCTTTTGAAACCCTGTGTAGAAACCAAGGCAGAGAGGCACTGAGGAAGGAAGAGCAGAGAAAACTCTCCTCCCATTCCCTTCTTCATCCACAGATTTAGTTCACGTTATAACCTGGAATCTTATAAAAAGTTTTCATCCTGACCTCCAGTGTCTGCCCCTCAGATAAGCTTTAAAGAAAGTAGCCATAGGTATTTTCCCACAATGCATATCTGACTCCTTTCTCATCTACCTAAAAGGCTTTATCAGCCTAAGACCTTAATTGACCCTGAGAGGCTAACTAATACCTCCCAGAGCAAGGCACACTGCATTGTGCCTCTCCATTACTCATGCTCCTGTTGGGCCTACAAACAAAATCCTTCCTGTTCATTCCCCTCCCAAATGGGGGGAAAAGAACTCATTTCTGGAACCTAGATAATAAAACTGCCTCTCTAAGCAGACTTTCCTGATATTTGCCACTTCATCTTCTACAAAATAGTGTCTGCTGTATGGCCCCCTCATATTTGATCTCAGACTATAAACACCCTAAGTCTAGAACTAAGAGGGGGCTTCAAAAAGTTCATGGAAAAATTCCATTCATTTTTCCACAAATTTTTTTAAGCCCCTGAAGGCAGAGATGGCTGGGTGAGTACCTAGAGACTCACCTTGCAGGTCCCTGGCTGTTGGCCTTCGTACACCCGGAAAACCTAGCCAAGAAGAGGAGAGTACAGGGTTGGCACGTTTCCCAAAAGAGCCAAAGCCCTCTGTTCTGCCCTCGACTTCATGCCCCATTACTTTTGTTTCAAATATGTATCTTTGTTTTTTCTGTTTGCTTGGTAACACGTTCTCTTAGAATATTTAAGAAATACAAAACTGTGTAACAAAGACAACTAAAACAGTGCCTTCTTCATGGCCGTGGAGACAGCTGCAGTGTGGAACTCCTCCCGGGTGAGCCAGCGTGCACGCGGTAGTGTGGTGGTCACTGGGGTCTGCCCTTCCAGGGCCAGACCATATACTTGATAGGTCATCTTGATGTGAGAGAAGATGTGGACGACCTGATAAGGGAGAGGGGTGGAGCATGACAGGGCTGAACCAGACCTGTAGACACTGCCACAAAAGCCATCATTCCTGGCCCCTCCATTGCTCACTCACCTCTCCAAGGTGCTGGAGGCGGGTAGTTTGGAGGGGCCCAGCCCAAGTCTGCAGCTCCTGGAGTAGGGCCTTGCGCTGGCCCTGCCCTGAGAGCTCTGTAGCCACAGACGGGAACTCCCACAGTCCTGCCAGCAAACCTGAGAGGAGGGCAGGCAGGTAGATGTGTGGTCAGCCATAGATGCTGACTGCCTCATGCCTCCTTGGTGCTCATGCCACTACTGCTTCCCTGACAGGAGCCAGGTACCTGAGCTGGGCCTCTGCACCAACAGAAGTCGAGCACCTCCAAGGGCCCCAGGCTGCTCCAGAACACAGGTGGCAGAATATTCCTCCCTGCGGGGCTTGCGGCTGGCCTTTCGGGGAAAGTTGGTCACTCCCAGGGCCTGGTCCCAGGGCTCTGTGGGTGGCAGGCACAACTGGCACTGTCCGGTGTTGGGAGCTGGAAACAGAGATCCCTGAGCCCCACTCAGGCCAGGAGGGCTTAGGTGCCAAGCCCAGAGGCCAGGCCTATGTCCCATCAACAGATCCTTACTCAGGTTGTAGGAAGAACTGGAATGAGACTTCCACAGGGCAGGGAAGGGCTGAGGCTGAGCTCAGGGCTGGTACTCACCACACTCCTCCACATCAGGGCTGTGTGGTAGGCTTCCAGAGACTGAGAGTTCCTCCCGTTCCACCTGAGAGGCAGGGGGTATGTCTTAGCACAAGAGTTACTCCCTAAGACCCCTGACTACTCCCTCCTCACATGGCTCACCCTCTGACGTGCCCAGCATAGAGTCTGCACAGGGCACTGGCTGCAAAGTGGACGCTGTGGGGTGCATATGGTGGCTCCCAGTTCCATGGCAGCTTGGTTGAAGTCCCCTGGCCGAGCTGGGTCTACCAGCTGTTGGGCTAAGCTCCTGCAAGTAGACAGCATCACTGGGAGTCAAACACCCTTTGGCAACACCCCTCACTCTGTCTGTTGGAATTCCAATATCCTACCAGAGTTGCTGGGAGACGAGGGTGCTGCTGGGGTCGGCACCAATTGCCCGGACACGGCACAGCACCCGCACTACATTCCCATCCACTACACCAGTTGCCTGAAACAGAAGAGCCCAGGAGTCAAGCTGGGCTGGGAGGAAGGAGGGTGGGCTGGGCACACAGTGGCCTTGGGGTATGGGCTGACCTGGCCAAAGGCGATAGAAGCAATGGCTCCAGCTGTGTACCGCCCCACGCCAGGCAATAACTGCTGCAGAGTCTCTGCTGTACGTGGCATGTAGCCCCCTAGCTCCTCGACCACCTGATTAGGGTGGGAAGACTCTAGGTTAGGAATGAGAATCGTTACACTCCTGGGCTCCCAACTTTCCTGTCACCACCTCACCTTCCGGGCTCCCTCCTGTAGCCGCCGGCCCCGAGAGTAGTAACCCAGGCCAGCCCAGAGCTGGTTCACTTCCTGCAAGTGAAGTCAGAGGTCAGAGAGGTCAGTGCTGAGTCCTCAGTTGTCCCCCATTTCCCTACTTTAGGGTGACTCTTACCTCCAGGGAAGCACAGGCCAGGTCCTGCAGTGTTGGCCACTTCTACAACCCAAAGGCAGACAAAAAGAGATGAGATCAAGGATAAAGGCAGTGGAGGAGTCCTCTAAACCCTATCCCCAAAGGACAGGCTCTCATCTGGAGTGTGACCCGCCGGAATCACCTGCATCCATCGAGTATAGTAGTCAATCACCGTGGCAACCTGGGTCTGCTGCAGCATAACCTCTGAAACCCACACTGGGGGAGAGGAGTTGGCATGAGGGCACTGCTGACCTCTCTGCTCCTAGTCCTCAGCCCTTAGGGACCCCAGGTAGGGGGGCCAAGCCCTCAGGAAATAAACTTACCAGCATATGCCCGCCTATCCAGGTCTACTTCATTATCTGCCTGCCAATGTAATCCCAGGTGAAGTGTTAATATAGAAGGATTAGGTACCAGCCTCCCATCCCACCAGCCTGATCCCTCGCCTGCCTACCCGCTTTCTCCAGGGTAGGTCACGTTTCTCTCTGTCATACCAGCTCAGCAGGCTCCTCCGAAAGGCTGTAACCTCAGCTGTGTCTCTGAATAGATGGTGCGAGGAGACAGAGGCCTGCAGTATCACTTTTTCCTGGTGCCTGGCTACACCTAGGGGTGCCCAAGACACTGGGGATTGTCCCTGTACAGGCTGTTCCCACGAGGGATCCCTCACCCACAACCCCTCACTTAAGCTTTGCGGCTGGAGCCAACTAATGTTCCTTAGCTGTGTATAGTCTTGGCCAAGTTTCTGACCTCAATTTTCCCAGATGGTAATGCTGGTTCCTTTGTCCCTGAACCATAATGATAAACCCAACAGTTTCAGCCAAGCATAACTTGTATAGACTTTCAGTCTCAGAACTCACAAATCCCCATGAAAGTCCTGCACAAATTACTGCCCCATGTTGCAAATGAGAAATCCACCATTCAGTGCAATTAGTCCAAAGTCACATAGTAATATAGTCAGCATTCGCTCCCACATCTCTCAATGCCTTGATGCCATGCTCCCTTCCCAGCGTGAGTATGCCCCTTTCATGGCCAATGAACCTAGCCCCCTGAGTCCTCCATCAGGACCAGGCTCCTCACCATCAATGACAGAAGGTTTGGCCTGGATGCTGCTTAGGACACATTTCTCTCCTCCCTCTGGACTAGATGCTTTCTTCCTGTGACTTCTCCCAGTTGCTCGTGGCTTCCTCATGATGGCCTAGAACACATGGGCCCAGGCAAAGTAGTGGGTTACAATGAGGCTGAATCTTGGGGCCCTGCAAGGGATACAGCCACCTCTCTGCCTACAAGCACTCTCAAGATATGCATGAATTCGCTGTTGGCTGGCTGTGGCACTGAAGTGTGACCACAATGGTTGGGCTCCTGCACTGGCTTCAAAGGGACCAGTCTTAGTACACCTTGGAGGCAGGTAACAAATAAGGGCAAGTGCAGGAACCAACACCTCCTGTACCTGTGTATTGCTGATACTTATTGTGGCTGTGTATGTGGATAGGGATTGTTTATCTGGGAGCATGAAGGAGGGGGGGCACAGGAGGCTAACTGTTTACAGATGTAGCATGTCTATGCTGAAAGGACCCTTAGTAGTCATGTGGTCCATGCTGCAATGGTTAAGCTCTCAGCTGCTAACACAAAGGGTGGCAGTTCAAACACACAGCACAGCTCCAAGGGAGAAAAACCTGGTGATCTGCTCCTGTAAAAATTACAGCCTAGGAAACCCCATGGGGTAGTTCTCTGAACTCTGTCACATGGGGTCACCATAAAATCAAAATCACAGAACCAACCGGAGAGCACCTAACAACTTTATTTTACAGAAAGGAGAAACCAAAGACCAGAGAGGGAAAAGATTGTCCAAAAGCAGAGAGCCAATCAGTGGGAAGTAGAGATTAGCTTTTTAACTCCTGATCTTTAAATCATAGCTGACTGACCAACTTGTTACTGCTAAATGCCATCCAATTGGTTCCAACTCATAGCAACCCTGCACAGGGTTTCCGTGGAGCAGCTGGTGGGTTTGAATTGCCAACCTTGCAGTTAGCAGTCCAATACTTTTCCTCCAGTGCCACACTAGGATTCCATGTTGTTGTTGTTATCTACCACCAATTCGGTTCTCACCCATAATGACCCTGTATAGGGTTTCCAAAGAACAGCTGGTAGGTTTGGACTGCTGACTTTGTGGTTTGTAGTCCAGTGCTGATCCTACAGTGCCACACCAAGAGTTCACACAGGATTCCATAGAAGGGCTTAAAACTCAATCCAATGTCATTGAGTCAATTCTGACTCATAGGATTTCTGAGGCTATAAATCCTGATTGTCGTTATAAAGTGTCATTCGGTTGGTTCCGACCCATAGCATCCCTGTATAGGGTTTCCAAGGAGTGGCTGGTGAGTCTGAACCACTGACCCTATGGTTCAAACCGACCTTGTTGTTCAAACCAACCCTTTGGTCCTATGCTTATCCTACAGGACCACACCAGGACTCCTCAGTAGAGTACAGTCTCATCTTTCTCCCATGGAATGGCTCGTGGGTTTAAACCACTGACCTTTTTGTTAGGAGTCCAGTGTTTATCCTACAATGCCACACCAGGACTTATGTTGCTGTTGGTAAGCGCCGTTAGGTTGATTCCAACTCATAGCAAAGCTGTATAGGTTTCCAAGAAGCAGCTGGTGAGTTTGAACCACTGACCTTGTGGATCAGACCAACCTTGAAGTCAAGTGCTTATCCTATGGTGCCATGCCAGGACTCCAGAATTTCTTATAGAATGTTAAAAAATGAAATCAAACCCATTGGTGCTGAGTTGGTTCTGATTCACAGTGATTGTACAGGACACATTAGAGTACCTCTGAAGACTGCCTCCTCTTTCTCCCAAGGAACAGCTGGTATATTTGAATGACTAACCTTTCTGTTAGCAGACCAACACGTTGCGGCTGCTGCTGTGTGCTGCTGAGTGGGTTCTGACCCATTGCAACCCTGTTTCAGAGCCTGTAAATCTTTAAAGTAATGGAAAGCCTCATTCTCCCTTGGAATGACTGGAGGATTTGAACTGCTGACCTTGTGGTTAGCAGCCCTATATATAACCTACTATGTTGCCAGGGGCTCTGGTAGCGTAGTAGTTATGAATCGGGCTATGAACCGCAAGGTCAGCAGTTCGAAACTACCAGCCGCTCCGCGGGAGAAAGATGAGGCGTTCTGCTCCCATAAAGATTAACAGCCTCGGAAACCCTGTGCAGGGTCGCTATGAGTCGGAACTGACTCCACGGCACATAACAACAACACAACAAATGTTGCCAGGGGAGTCTTGGTGTAGCTGCTGTAGGATAAGCAATGGACTGCTAACTGCAAGGTAAGTGGTTCAAATCCACCAGCCCCTCCTCAGAAACCCTATACAGAATTGCTTTAAGTTGGAAGGAACTCAACAACACTTAACAACATTCCCTGCACTTAGAAGTGTGCCTGATCCTTCTGGAGTCCTGGTGTAGCAATACAGGACAAAGCTCTGGACCACAAGATCAGCTTGAACAGCAAGGTCAGCGGTTCAAGCTCACCAGTTGCTTCTTGGAAACTGTATACAGGGTGGCTATGAGTCAGAACCAACTTGGAAGCACATAACAATGCTACCTGTATAAGGTTTCAGAGGAGAGACTGGTGAATTTGAATCACCAACCTTGTGGTCTAGTGCTTATCCTATAGTGCCACAAGTGAGTGGTGGGAGGGGTGGTGGTAACAAATACTAGCATAAAGAGGATATGTAGAGCAAGAGAAAGGAGTGCTAGGGTGGGGGTGTTGTGGTGTAATTTTGAAGAATATGTTTAAGGTGGACTTACTGAAGTAAGTGATATATGATCAGAGTCCTGGTGTGGCACTGTGGTAAATGCACTGGACTGCAAAGTTGGATTGAATCACAAGATCGCCAGTTCAAGCTCACCAGCTGCTCCTTGGAAATTCTATACAGGGTTTCTATGGGTTGATCCAACTCAAAGGCACTTAACAACAACAACAACATAACAATTGAGGGAGTTGGCCACATGATACTTGTAGGAAGGGCATTTTAGGAGCTAATACAAAGGTCGTAAGGAGGATGGCTGGAACAATAAGGTTTGAGTGGTTTGAATGGAATGAGGAGGGGGTGAATGATAGGCAGGAGATAAGGTCAGAGAGGTAAAAGGGTGGGAGTGGCCATATCACAAAGATCCTTGTGGGCCATTGAACAATGAGTGTTTTGGCTGTCACACCCAGACTTCTCATAAGAACTAATCTTAATATGGCCTTGTAGCCTCCAATAGGAGTGCTGGTAGCACAGTGATTATGCTTTGGGCTGGAACAGTTCAAGTCTTTGGGATTGAAACATCCTTTCTGTAAAAAGCTCTAGTAGCGTACTGGTTATGAATTGGGCTGCTAACCTCAAGGCCAGCAGTTTGAAACTACCAGATGTGCCTCAGAAGTTGAGGCGTTCTGTTCCCGTAAAGATTTACAGTCTCAGGAAACCCTACACAGGTTCACTATGAGTCAAAACTGACTCAATGGTGGCATACAACCACGGCCTTCAACAATTTGGGTGATGCCTGCCTCACACCCTTACTATGCTACAGCCAAGTTGGTCTGAACTTAGTTTTTCCAATCCCCCAAGTGCTATCTACCTCGAAGCCTTTACCCAACTCATCTCTTTTCCTATGCTTTACCTACATCTATTGATTCTATGGACAACATTGAGAAGTATGAGTATTCCAGAACACTTAATTGTACTTCTGAGAAATCTGTACCTGGACTAAGAAGCAGTTGTTCAAACACAGCATGGGAACACTGAATGTTTTAAAATTGGGAAAGGTGTGCGACAAGTTTGTGTTCTTTCACCATACTTGTTCAACCTGTATGCTGAGCAAATAATACGAGAAGCTGGGTTCTATGAAGAAAAACATGGAGTCAGGATTGGAGGAAGACTCATTAACAACCTGTG